CGAGCCCAAAAACTTTCGAGAACTAGGGTCAGCAAGTTGTTTACGGCTAGTTGGAGAAATGCCGATAGCTGAGTCAGACCGGGCAGCAGCTCATGATCCCTTTAAGAGCTTCGTCAGAACGGTTGTTCCCGGCAGCAGTAATTACAAACCCGACGGGATTGGCAACGCGGCGAATGTGGAGGTGGTGGCGTCGCGCAAGTCTTCCGCCGCAGAGCCAGCTGCAGAAGATGCAGTCGAGAAGGCCAAGGCCCACTGACAAGTTCTGCCGCAGACCTCTCATGCTGCTGTTGCAAGAAATTTGCAGCGGAGAGCCTCTTTGTGTTTGGATAAGATTGTCTGCTTTTCTGAGTTTGCAGTCAGCTTATGGTGGACGCAGGCGGGCATCTCGGCACCTCCACTTTCGAGACCGTCGCGTGAGGAAGCGCCCAGGTCTCTTCCTGAGTCCTGGAATCCATGCCGCAGACATGGTCAGCGGTTTTTGTCCCGAGTTTCGGGTTAGCGGGTCAGGCGCATTGTATAGCATTTGAGAGTCAATCAGGCCTGGTAGCACCTCGCGCGCCGATGCTGATGCGGCTCCCAAAGAGGCACCGGCGGCGCCCATCAGAAGTGAGAGTGTTTTTGATCCGAGCCCAAAAACTTTCGAGAACTACGGTCAGCAAGTTGTTTACGGCTAGTTGGAGAAATGCCGATAGCTGAGTCAGACCGGGCAGCTGCTCATGATCCCTTTAAGAGCTTCGTCAGAACGGTTGTTCCCGGCAGCAGTAATTGCAAACCCGACGGGATTGGCAACGCGACGAATGTGGAGGTGGTGGCGTCGCGCAAGTCTTCCGCCGCAGAGCCAGCTGCAGAAGATGCAGTCGAGAAGGCCAAGGCCCACCGACAAGTTCTGCCGCAGACCTCTCATGCTGCTGTTGCAAGAAATTTGCGGTGGAGAGCCTCTTTCTGTTTGGAGAAGATCGTCTGCTTTTCTGAGTTTGCAGTCAGCTTATGGTGGACGCAGGCGGGCATCTCGGCACCTCCACTTTCGAGACCGTCGCGTGAGGAAGCGCCCAGGTATCTTCCTGAGTCCATGCTGCAGACATGGTCAGCGGCTTTTGTCCCGAGTTTCGGGTTAGCGGGTCAGGCGCAGTGTATAGCATTTCAAAGTCAATCAGGCCTGATAGCACCTCGCGCGCCGATGCTGATGCGGCTCCCAAAGAGGCACCGGCGCCTATCAGAAGTGAGAGTGTTTTCGATCCGAGCCCACAAGCTTTGGAGAACTAGGGTCAGCAAGTTGTTTACGGTTACTGCAGTTGCACAAATGCTGGTGGCATTTGGTTGTAACTTGTTGCTCCAAGAGCTGGCAGCTAGCAGCTAAACTTAGACTGGACTGGTTTGATTCATAATCCTGGCTTCGGTCGCTTGTTTATTGTTGCTATTGTTATTGTTATTGTTATTGTTATTGTTATTAGTCGTCGTAGTCGTAGTAGTAGTCGTCGTCGTAGTAGTAGTAGTAGTAGCAGTAGTAGCAGCAGTGGTAGTGGTGTAATGAACATGCTTGAGGCCCCTAGCTGCAGCGGCCTGCAATGACATCGTCATCTGCGAAAGGGAATGAAAGGGATGAACAGGAGGTGCAAGGAATTGCGCGCAGTGAGGCTTGATACTCACACTGATATTGATACGAGTGCTCCTACGACTACTAATAATACCTAACACTCATATTCATATTAATACAGATACAAATGTTCCTGCCAGTATCATTCATATCAGAGGAGTTCGGATCTTGAGTGGTGGAGTCCTTGACTTCCAGTCGTGGTATCCAGGATTCAGAGCAGCCCTCAAAGCCGTCAGAAGTGCCTCGGCAGCAGAGCTTCGAGTTCAAGTCACGAGTCGCATCGTCGGTGACACAGCTGCGGCCGCAACGGCAACTCCTTCGCCCGAGCATTGGAGCCCAAGCCCGGTTCGATTTTTGTGTCCGAAAGTCAGAAAATGTGGGGAAGCCCTTCTCTTGCCCCTCACTTGATGTTCCTTCGCTGCACCCGAGAGGAGACGATAACTTTTCATACGAGTGGCTCTTCGAGTGCATCAACTTCAGTAACAAAGTTGTGACCCCCCGTTAAGTTTCCCGCATGCTGCAGTGCATGATGATTGAAGTCATCACGACAAGTTCCGTTAGCCAACATCAGTAGTACTGTGACCGATTGCACATTCTGAAGCCGGAGACTACGGCTTTACAACCTTCGGCCACACTGACGCTAGAAACCCTTGGAGCAGTTCATCAAGGCTTCCCCTTGCAAGAGAGCTTCGCACGCTTCTGCAAATGAGAAAGCAGCATCGTCCTTCCACCATCATGTGCGGCAATGTACTGTCAAAGCCCTATGTAAACTATGACAACATACCGTCATCTTCTACAAGGTTCTATATATTACACTATAATATTGGGTCGCGTCGCTTTCTTTGCCTTGAGGTGCCTGCCGCATCACAGACTTCGAGCCCGCCTGTGCTCGCCTTGGCACTGGTGCCCCAAGATAGTATGATTGTAGTATGGTTAGAGTAATCCTAGTCTGATTGCAGTGTATTATATACTATATAAGAACCTTATAATAAGCTTAGAGTGTGTTGTAGTATGCTACAGTACCTTATAGTATATACCAGTATACTACGCCTTATACATTTCTGCTAAAGCAACCCTAAACCCTAAACC